ACTGTAAACACCTCAAAATGGGTTCATCCTTTGATATTTCCACCAAACTCAGATACTCCTGGCGTACTCCAATACTCTGACAAATACTTCGATACTCCAAGTCATACTCCATACCAAATTTTGTTATTCTGAGTCTTGTTGCGATTCTCGTGAGCCAACTCCGATGCTTTTAATACATGTTTGGCACTTTTGATGGATCCGAAGTAAGCCGTCTTCCCATTGAATAATAGGTTGTTTAGTAGACAAAGCAATTAGGGTAGTGTGTAGTGGACGAGACATCGCATTCCTCTTTCTCGTCTTTCTTACAGTTGAACGCGGGGAGGAGGGGGAGTGGATTTCCAAGATTCCGGATTCCTGAGAGTACAATGGAAATCCTTGAAATCCCGGAAGTACGATGTATCTTATAGGAGTATTTATAAGTCCACATGGGCTCTCTTATGGAGGTACCCATAAGTCCTCATGAGCTATCGTATGAGAATACTATAAGCAAGGAGAAACAGCAGACTCCCGTACTCAACGAGTCCCTGGAAGTCCCGAGGAGTTCCAAGGACTCCCAAGAAATCTCAAATAGTTCCAAGGAGTCCCATAAAATACAGTAGCGCAGCTCGATACACATCAGTTTCTTCTCATTAGTATTTGACCTTTGACCCTTAACCATTGATCTGAACAGTCAGACCAGCATGATACATGTGGGCGCTACTACTCTGGAATATGTCGAAGTAGCGAGAAGATCCGAAGAAATTCCAAGGAAATCCCTGGAAGTCCCATAAAGTCCCTCGAAATTCGAAGGTATCTCATAAAATCCTGGAAAGCCCAGAAGTCCGCGTAAGTCCCAAGGGGCCTCCGGGAGTTCCGAGGAATCCATAGGAGTACGAAATCTGGGAGTCTGCTGTTTCCCCTTGGGTATGAATAGCGTTCTTATCACAGTTTGCGTTCCTACCTAGAAGCCCTTGAAAATCTATGACGATTAACGCTAGATATCTCCTTAACAGTTAGCGGTATCCGACATCCCTTCACGAAATAATGCTTGAAGAGTAACTAGAACTACCGCAAGACAGTGCTTGAAAATCTAACAATACCAAACATCAATAGTCTTTGGTGAATTATGAGTACCTTCCTAGGATAGGTCATGAGACTCATGGTACCTCCAAAAGATATGTCATGAGAACTTATGGGCATACCATAGGATAGGCCATGGAGACTTATGGGGTGCCCTCAAAGCATAGGTCATGAGGACTTATGAGTATCCCATTCAAGAAGAAATAAGAATACTTAAAGCGACTGACGAATGTACCTGTGATACGGTCTCCTACATAAGAATTGTATCTCACAGACTCCTTCTACTCTGGTGTACTCCTGAAGTCCAGGGAGTACAATGGGAGTATGGGAGTACAGCAGAGTAGGGGAGCACGTGATTTCTCCCTTGCTTTGATGTTAAAGTGTTAAAGTATGTTAGTTTAACACTTTAACATCAAAGCAAGAGAGAAATAACGTACTCTCGTACTTTGCTATACTCCCGGAGTCCAGGGAGTACAATGGAACCACGGGAATACAGCGGAGTACGGGAGTACAATGGAACCACGGGAATACAGCGGAGTACGGGAGTACAATGGAACCACGGGAATACAGCGGAGTACGGGAGTACTGATTTCTCCCTTGCTTTGACGTTAAAGTGTTAAAGTATGTTGCTTTAACTTTAACTTTAACTTTAACGTTAAAGTTAAAGTTAAACTCCCACCCCTATGTTGGACTCCCTGTACTCCCATGTACTCCCGGAGTCCAGGGAGTACAATGGGAGTACAGGGAGTACAGTGGGAGTACGGGAGTACGTGATTTCCCCCTTGGTTATGGATGTGGTAACCAACTGCAATGCAAGCTTTTTTTCTTAAAAAGCGTTAGCTAGATGGGATGACTCATGCCATCAAAAATCGAGGCTATGCTGGGAAAACGAGAAAAAAACTGAAAAGGCGGAAAAAAGCGGAACAGTGGAAAAATAGCGGAAAATAGCGGAACAGTGGGAAAATAGCGGAAAAAAGGCGAAAATGCGGAAACTTTCCGCAAAAAGTGGAAAAGGTGGCATCCCTGGTGACGGCAACCTTTCCTAATCCATTTTTATAGCTAAATTTTGCATATCTTGGCATTTATTAGTTTGACGATGAGAGCTTTCATTCAACCATAGTAAGGTCAATCTTTTCCCTCCATAGTACAAACTCTTTCCTTCTCAGCTATTCGTTTAACATTTGAAATCCTCAAAATTACGTTTAATTTTTAGAAAATAAAAAGATCTTTATTGTCAACAATGACTGATAAATCTACTCGTAAACATTCAGGATCATGGTCTCTTCCTCTTCAGCAAACAACTGATCCAGTTCAAGCAGTACTTTTAAATTCAGAACAAATTTGAACAAAAGAACATTATAGAACTAATGACTATTCATATGAATTTCTCAGTTTATCTTCAAAATACTCTTGTTAGTAGTTTTTAATGAAAACTGCTTCTCTTACGAATCGATATGAAAGGACAAAAGCGTATAAGACTATCAATTAGCTCACTACCTTATTTTTCTACACGAATTTTTCTCGTACTTTTATTGCGTAATAGTCACCTTGAGAAGGTTGCAACTCGTCACGTGAAGAATTGAACAAACAGCAAAAATCAGACCTTTCGTAACACCAAAAATAGGGATATTCAAAAATACAGGGATGTCGTAACGAAATTTACAGGGCAATCATAACGATTAATACAGGGATTTCGTAAGAGTTGCAGAGCTTTCGGAACGAAGTAACAGGGATTTCGTAATGAGAATGATGATGATGATAGCTGGACTTAGTTTTCAGAAATTACATGCTTTTCGTTACAAAAGCTCTGTAATGGTACATGTCAAAACACCCGTTACGATAACCCTGTAAAATTTGTTACGAAAGGGTGTGGGTGTGGCTGTGGGTGTAGAAAGAAAAAAAATCCAACGCCTCACACCCACACCCACACCCTCACACCCACACCCACACACCCACCCACACCCTCACACTCACACCCATACACCCACACCCACACCCCACACCCACACA